GGCTCTGCCGCCGCCTCCGGGGAGCCGTTTAAGGCCGGGGTCGGTGCGGGGCCCGCAGCCTTAGGGGCCGGCCTGTCGTGCGGAGCTGCTGTTCTGCATGACTCAGTGGTTTTTGGAGAAGGCCCTGTCGGGCTTTCCTGAGCGCGGCCTGTGCTCGGCGAAGGGTGGGGGACCAGGGGACCCGAACTTGTTCTGAAACCCGCTGGAATATGGGTGAGGGGTCCTCTCTGTCGTCGGGTTTTAGTTTTCTCAACGCTGCTTGCGTTTCTCGACTCAAGATCCTTTTCATGAAGGAGATGGAGCACCTTCCCCTTTGTTTCGTGATTTTAGGCTGGTGAACGTGAATTTCTGTGCTCCCGTTGCAAGCCCTCCGTGGAGCCGTGTTTTAGGAAATGCCTGGGTTATCTTTATTGATTTAATTCCCCCTAAGAATCTGGTCTAAGGACATACAAGTGTAAAGAAATATAGGTCACAGAGCCCCTGTTCTTAAACCAGGCATTCAGGTAAACTACAGGTTTAAAAAAATCTGAATTTCATTTTACTCAGTTTTTAAAAGTGGGATTTTAGAACTGAACTAGGGGAAATACTGCAATTTTATCTTTAAAGTTTTTTCTTAAAATAATCCTGAAAAGGGATTTGTTGTAGTTCTCCCGTTTTTTCTCTCTCAGGCCCGGCATTAAGCCTGGAAAGGAGCGTTTTAAAATCATACTAATCTATTCCATTTGGCAAAGAGGAAACTCTGAGTTAGGGAGAGTGAGGACTTGCCCAAGGTCACTGGCTTAGTTAGACATAGATTAGAGGCTAGAACTCATGTGTCAACTCCAGGTGAGTGGGCATTATTAACATCTTTTAACATTTATAAATTCCATAGGTTTTAAAAAGGCTTTTTTAATTTGAGGCTGGAGAGTTTCTCAGTTGCATGTCCAGGTTTGGTGTTTGTTGTTTTAAGCTATAGGTTAGAGGGAGCCAAAACTAGAAAAATATTTCACCTATACATGATAGAGCCGACACATAATACTCAAGTTTCTATTAACTTTAAAGGTACTAAATAGTAATTGTACCGTGTTTTTTTTTTTAAAACATTGCCAAGTAGGAGGAAACCACAGTACCTAATAGCAAGGCTTCCTCCCCACCCCCCAAAAAGAAGAAATTGCCGCTAAACGAGGATTCTTTCTGCCTTAATTCTCTCTCCACTTACTTGGTTTTTATAAACAACTCTGACCATTTTGGCTTCTATTAGTGATTAATGATGCCTGCTTGCATCCTCTAGATTGAATCTGAGATTGCTGCCTAACCCTCCCTACATTACAGGAAAGCCATAGCAGCCTAAATGGCATCTTTTTGTGTTGTTTTCTTATTATGTTAGATGTATGAACGCTGCATCCTTAGTTTTGGGGGTTGTGTAGGAGTTGGCAGGCTCTGGGATATAAATAGAAGCTGATTTCAGAGGCCCCTGTTGACTAGGCTTTATGTGAGAGCCTCCATCCAGCTCAGCCTGTCACATTGCAGCCTTGTGACAGGCTGAAGTGCCTGCCCATGTGATCTAAGCTTCTGAGAAATATTAAGGCAAGCTGTGCACATGTGATGGCATTTAAAAGCTGGCTTTCTAGGGGGAAACAGACTACAAGATGAGAAGCTATGTAGAAGACACACCTTGGTGTCTGAGTTGAAGACTAGCGAATTGAAGGAAGATGTGTTTCTGAAGAAGGAACACATTGCATGTCGAAGTGGGTGAAATCATTGGATGAGAGCCCTCCCATTTATTTTATTTACATAAAACAAGATTTTAAGAATCAGATTAACAAATATTAATGTTTGTTGGCTCAAATTTTAAAGCCCCTGTTCAGATGACACTGCAAATTAGTATAGAAAGTGTGAGCTAGCATAATTCTTAAACTGGGTTCAAGGAATGGCACAACTTTTTGTTTAGGATAAAGATTCACACACCTGGCATAGTGGGCACGCAAATAAACAATTATCTGAAGCATTTTTTGCACATATTCTCAAATTTTTAAAAAAACAGCTGAAGTTGTTTATTATAAACTTCATAAGGGATGTTGAAATGTTTACACTACTCTGCTCCAAAATGAGTCAGCTAAATTCCACTTACTATTTAAAGAGACAGAGTCAACTAAATTAATACTATTGTCAGGATTCGGCCAGGTCAGAATTGGTTAGTTCTCTTTCACCCTTCTTAAAAATAATTTTGTTAAAAAAATTGCTAGTAATTGTTAAGACATTATTTTAATAATCACCAAAGAGTGTATTCTAGAAGTAGTAGTGGAAGGAGCCACATGAAACTCCAGAAGATGGCAAGCTGTAACTTGAAGTACTTTCCTGCGCTTATTTGAAATGCTCATAACTTAATAAATCATAAGTGATCTTGTTATCAACAGTAAGGTACATTTAAATGACAAGTTAGAGCAAATGATTTTTTTTTTTTTAAATGTTCTCAAGTATGCTTTTTTGTATGTTTATACGTATTTTTAGGTGTCATGGAAACCCTCCACATTTTCCTTAAATAGTTATATTTTCTGTTAACTCAGGAAAATTTACTAAACTTAGCAAAATATTACTATATTTGTGCTAATTTTAACAAGGCTTATGGAAAAACAAGAGTATGTTTTCTGTATAAAGTGTTTTCTGGTAATCTAGCATTAAATATTAACCACTACTAAAGGTTGTGTGTTTATATTTGCTTTACTTTGCCTTATTTGAAATTGAGCTTGACAGGATTTCATTTTCTGGTATGAGAAAGACAAACTCTTGTTAAAAGTTACAAGACAGCCTTTGGCTGAGAAATCTATGGCTGATAATTTGTGTGTTGCAGGTTTTTAGACACTGACTTCAAGTATTCAGACCCAGATTTCACACTTCAAATGCAGAACATAAAAGCATAAGCAGCTGACCCCCTGAATTCTTAGAGCTTCACTTGTTGGTTCCAAGGTAACAGGAAAGGCTAGAATGATATACCAGCTTTCTTTTCAGTCTGCTATAAAGGTGTTGCAACACTTTAAAAGTACAAATGCCCTGCCCTGTAGCAGAATTGTTGAATTACTAGTCGAGCTCAAGTATGTTCAGGTGTTAGTTTTAAGAAAACTTTAGAGCTACATCTACTATACAGCTAATTTAAAGAACCACTAATAGATCTTAAGAGTCAGTAATTAAGACTAGTTTTTTCCTATTTGCAAGTTCCAGTTAATACATTTTTAACCAAAGTGTAGGAGAGTAGAAAGGAACTTAGATAACAATTGCCTAAATGGATTTAAACATAATTCTGACATCAGAGAGAGTGACCTTTTCAGAAATTGAAACAAAAAACAATAGTGACAGGTGAAATAAATACATTTTAATATTTAACTCTTGTCCTAAAGTATGTGAAGTCATTATAGGTCATAATTTATCAAGCTAAAACACAATTCCTTTCATGCCCTTTGTTTTATAAATGCAGCAAAATATTCATAATTTTCTTGGCCTACTCTTTTTTTAATGATTAACACAATTTGGGCCTTTTTTAGAAATAGATTTGGTACTTAGCATACACTGGTGGCCAGTGTATCATATACTAATTTAGTGATTTTATTTTGGTTATATGCTAGTTTCTAAAGTCTTGTCTTTGTTTTGTTTTTTATAGCAGAAAAATATGGCTCAGGAGACTAACCAGACCCCAGGGCCCATGCTGTGTAGTACAGGATGTGGCTTTTATGGGAATCCTAGGACAAATGGAATGTGTTCTGTTTGCTACAAAGAGCATCTTCAGAGGCAGCAGAATAGTGGCAGAATGAGCCCAATGGGTAAGTTGTTTCCAAGGAAAAACCCATTTGAAGAATTGGTGAACAGAACACATAGATCCAAGAATTGGGCCTAAGACTTGAGAGTCAATGCTGAAAGCTCAGAGAGAAGACCTGAGAAAAGCTTGAAATTAAAGCAACAGCCCAAGTACTTGGCATGACCCACCTCAGGAATGAATGACTGTCTGCAAGCATCTTGACTAGCTTTTTCATTTTCCTTTTTGGAGGTTTTGTTTCATACTTGTATTCACTGGATATAACTTTTTAATATATATTTTTGTTTGGATACTCAAGTGTAGGATTCTGCAGCACAATGAAAATGCTTAAATCACTAATCTAATTAAATGCAAGTATTTGTTACCTATTAATAGTCTTGATATTGATCATATGTAGTATTGCTTTGTTTCTTACAAATCCTTTTTTTAAATAGGGACAGCTAGTGGTTCCAACAGTCCTACCTCAGATTCTGCATCTGTACAAAGAGCAGACACTAGTTTAAACAACTGTGAAGGTGCTGCTGGCAGCACATCTGAAAAATCAAGGTAAGATTGATCATTTCAGAGTTTTTATGGTAATACAAGGAGGAAATAAAGATATCTGTGCTATCCATACAATTATAATTATGAGTGTTCATATATAATAAGGATGTTAATGTATCAGATGCCCTTGGCTTTGCATGTGTTGCACAGTCAGGGATTTCAGTATCTTTAATATATGATCTTGTAGGTCATTGAGTAAAGATGTATATTATAGCACACTCCATAACACCCCCAAGGATGCTGTGTTGAGAATGCTGTGCTTTAATTTCCTTGTAATTGAGGTTTAGAGATTGTAGGCAGTGAGGCTCTGCAGACTTTAATGCCACACAAGGCATTTTGGCAAAACTGCCCCCGTTTGCCCTTGAACAGATTACAGGCACAGCTAAAAATTCCTAGTTGGCTATAATAAAACATTGTGACTTACACAAATATGCAGCCTTGAATTGATGAGCCATTTATCAAATTGCTTTCTTTATTCTCAACCATTTTTTGCTGAACATCCAGTATTCTTTTATAATTTTAGATTATTTAGCTCCATTTGATTATGTTGGAAATAATATATAATTTAAAGTTGAACTGACAACTTATTATCTCAAGAAGAAGTACCCTTAACATCTTTAAAAATGTTTGCTTGAACTCAAATAGAAATGTGCCTGTGGCTGCCTTGCCTGTAACTCAGCAAATGACAGAAATGAGCATTTCAAGAGAGGACAAAATTACTACCCCGAAAACAGAGGTGTCAGAGCCAGGTATGCTTTTTGTTTAATTCTAGTTCAGTTCTGGACTTGGTAGTATGAGGAAGGGTTGGTGGGGGGATTCCTTCCTTTCCACCAAAGGACCAAGGAAAGGAGAGAGCCAAAAACACAGACTGAGCAAGAACCACTCTCTTTAGAGAGCCTGAAATTGTCACACTGTTCTCTTCTCTGCCCACCCCCCACCATCCTGCACACAAGTAAATTGGCAAACTTCATAATCTGGAGACTGGAAGTATTAATAATGTAAATAATGGTTTACTGTAATATTTTAAAGGTATCTAAATCACTAGAGAAGGTATTTATAAACCTAGAAGAAATTGTATAGATTAAATTTCAAAGCTACGAAGAAAAAAATTTTAAAATCAAAAGCAGTAACTATTCAGTCTTTATATTGTCAATATTGTAGAAAATATTCAAGAAATAGAACATATTAAACACTAAAACTTTCAAGCTGGAGAAGTGTACAATCCCATATTTTGTGAGTTTAAAACTCAGTATGGAAAGACATTTTTGGTTTTCATTAGTGATTTTGAGTCAGTGCTTAACTTACATAGCAACGACAAGTACTCTGATGTATTGGGCAGAAGATTGACTTGTTTGAATTACCTGTGCTAGGCCTGGAACAAGGATCTGTGTATGTTATAGTGCACATAGTTCATTTCTGATCAGTTCATTATTTCCTGGTAGTGTTGACTGAACACAATATAAAACTTTATTGTGAGGAAGTAGTGTCAGTGGATATGTGATCTGCTTTGGAGGCTTGCTTTTTTTTTTTTTTTAGCATCACATAACATCACAAGCTTATGTGAACTATATCAATCTTAATTATATAAAGTTAAGGTGAAAATTTTTAAGTTGAGCAAGTGATTCCATATTTGGTATTTTGAAATGAGTTCCATTTTTCTGAAAAAAGCAGACCAAATTAGTGTGTGTTTGTGAGAGAGTGTGCAGAGCTTTTAGGTTTTTTTTTTTAAACACAAAATTAGTCTGGCCTTGGAACAGTACTCTTTCGGATTAGATCTGTAGCTAATCTCCAAATTTATTATCTCTTAGTGGGAATTCTGTAGTTGTTTCTTTGCCCTTTTTCTGTATCTTTTTTTTTAAAAAAAACACCACCACCCTTATCTATATTGAACCATTGTTTAGTTTTCAAGTATGGCCAGGGAAATGGCTGTCACTCCTCCCTGCCCCCAAACTATTGTCATACCAGCAGGAAAAATTATATTGAGGTTGTTATAGTAGATTGTTAGGAATAAGTAACAAACAGGTGGAATAGTTTAATATTAGGCTATTGATCTCACTGGATAAGTTAGTAGTGCAGATGAGTTATAAATTTGGGGGAGAATTTGAGAGTAAGTTGTCATTAAACCAATTGGCTTGTGTCTAGAGTTTAGATTTATGCTACTAGCATTGGTGCTGGCCCATTGTTTTGAGAGTAATTTTAGCATTGCATACATTAATTTGCTATTCTTGGGGTTTGGATTATATTAAAGCTCAATTTACAATGCTTCTAATGTAATTGAATTTTATAAAAGAATTAAAGTTGGTAAATAGCTAGTGGAAATGTGGGCTTTACTCCAGTAATCTGCAATTTTACCTTCATCTTGACAAATTCTGTTGATGTCATGTCTAAGCTAAAACTTAAAGCCTTTTAGGTAGAGAAATGGACTTCATAATGTAAATCAGAAATTCTTGTTTTATCTGTAAAATCCTTACCAGTCTTAAAGTCACAACTTCACAAGTTATTTACATTGTCCTAAAGACAGTGTTTGCTAATCTTTCAAAAGAAACTTAAAAAATCTTCCAGCTCTTCTACGTAAGACAATAAAGCACTTGTTAAAATGGCGAAAGTAATTATTGTGAGATTTTTAGGACCTGAAACAGTGATTAGTGATTTGGATTTTACTTGTCTACACAATCTTTATTTTTTCTGTAAGTATAAGTTGTCAGCTTTATTTACTGAGTAATAATGAATTTGAACAGCCCTAATTAAGACGTTTACATGTAGGCAATTGCAATATGGAAAAACTGAGCATGTGGTCAGCATCTCTTAAGGCTTTAAAAACTTTCAGAATTGGGATTTTGTTTGTCGGTACTAGCTGCAAAGAGTGAGTTTAAAAGAATTTCAATGGAGTGATAGTTTTAGAAAAACAAGTATGTTGATTGGCAAGAAATTCTTAAATTTGTAAGTTCTGATATAAAATACCCAATTTAAGTACATGTTTTTAAGAAGGGCTTTTAAACATTTGTACTAAGAATCTTAAGGTTTTGTGTGTTTTTTTAACTTAGCTAATTGGTTAATTGGTAGCCAGTGAACTCTTGATAAATTTCTAATTTGTACCCTTATTTTTCAGTTGTTACTCAGCCAAGCTCGTCAGTTTCTCAGCCCAGTACTTCTCAAAGTGAAGAAAAAGCTCCTGAGTTACCCAAACCAAAGAAGAACAGATGTTTCATGTGCAGAAAGAAAGTAGGCCTTACAGGTATTACAGACACAATGAAGAGTATATATTTTATAGCTAGGGTTCAACAAGGAGCTCCTGGCCCCTTCATAAGGGCCAGTTGGTCTTACACATAAAACAAAAGGATTGACTTTCAGGAATAGGAAGTTTCCAGAGTGGCCAAGAAAGGGGGATAATGGGAAGAAGTCTAGTTTGATTTCCTTTTGTCTCCCTAATCACATGAAATCTTTTAACTTTATGCCTTATGAATTACTTTCCTTCATTGTTTTGATAAAAATTCATTCCTTTTTATTATTTCCTGTGTTCTCCTGCAGAAAAGGTAGCTGAAATTTGAGCCAGGCACAAAATATTTAGATACTTTTCAATTGTTTCTTTAATTGGTTGTCTTTCCCTGGTTTTCACTTGAAACATTACCTATTTTAACATATGGTAGGAGGAGGATTTAAAGCCATGTCATTCTGGTTCCAGAGCGTATGCAATTTCTACCCTGTGTGGCATCAATAAAAGTTTATGGAAAATAGTTATTTGAATTTCTGACCATGTCAGGTGATTTGAAAGCTGTTTCAAAGTTTGAAGTGACAGACTTTGTCTTTCATGTTGCATAGAGCTATGAAAAGTTGGTTCCTTTTCTATAGTGAGTAAGTCAGTTTTTTTTCCTTTTAATTGCTACAAGTCCCCAAGTGACTGCTTCCTCTTGTGTGTACAGGGTTTGACTGCCGGTGTGGAAATTTGTTTTGTGGACTTCACCGTTACTCTGACAAGCACAACTGTCCATACGATTACAAAGCAGAAGCTGCAGCAAAAATCAGAAAAGAGAATCCAGTTGTTGTGGCTGAAAAAATCCAGAGAATATAAATTACTACTTGTGAAGAGACTGAAACTTTGTTTTTATTTTAATATATCGTAGGAAAACATTAAAGAGCAGATGCATGGCCATTTTCCTTTGATGTTCTCCAGAGTTTTACTTTATTACTTGTCTGTCTTCTAATTGATATTTTAGGATGTTTGGGTGTTTGTTACAGGCAGAATTGGATAGATACAGCCCTACAAAATGTATATGCCCTCCCTTGAATAAAATTGGGTGAAAATCTGCACATCAAATTGAATTTCACAGATAATAGGGACAAAATTTAGTTCCCACGTGCCAAACAAAACACATGAAATCTCTGCATGTTTGCAGCATATCTGCCTTTTGGGAATGCAATCAAGGTATAATCTTTGGCTAGTGTTATGTGCCTGTATTTTTCTATAAAATGGTACACCAGAAAAGGACTGGCAGTCTACTTCTACCATAGTTAAACTTCACATTGTTAATTTCTACAACATGTTCTTTGGAAGCAGGAAGAAAGTGATAAAGAGGATCAGACCTTTTCATGAAACCAGTATTTGATGCCATATGTAAGCCTGGCTAATTGGTCTTAAAGCTGTCAAATAAGACATTCTGCGAAAGGTAAACATTGCAACTGGTTATAAGAGTAAAATCATCAAGCAGCGGTCTGGAGCTATCATTGAAGCTAATAGTGCTGGCCTGCACCAGAAGATGTCTGCATTATTCTCATTGCTAAAATGTGTAGTACAGAACTGCACTAGGATTAATTTGTTTACAAGAAGAAATTAAAACTACTTTTGGTTTTCACATACAGGAGCTCTATTGAATAACATGCATCTGAATTTTAAGTTGCAAAGGTATCTGAACAGTTAATTTTTCATGTGCATCTTTTGTTGAATGTTTTGGTTCAAGAAAGAATGTTTAAAGCTTTTTTAAAGACTTCAGTTCTTAATGTAACTGTACCCTTCTGCATGGAAAATCATAACCAACATGGCTGCAGTAGACTTCTTAGTGGTATCCAGCACCACTTGCAGAGGGCTGCTTTATCATATTAATTGTACTTGGGTGTAGGACTCTAGTGTTCTTGGGTGTGTTGCATGGGCTGCATTATTTACAGCATTGTACAATAACAACTAGAAGAGGCAGTATACTTCACTGATGCTTGTCTGGTAATATCACTTCTGTGTTATAATGGAAGGTTTTCTGTGATGTAAGAAACTTGTGTTTTTTATATATAAATGAGTATAGTTAGATTAGTGTTGTGGTAATGCCTGTTTTCATCTGTAAATAGTTAAGTATGTACACGAGGCACTACTTCTGATTTATTGCAGTGTTGAGTCCTAGTTTTTACTTTTATTAAAGCATTCAGTTTTGCTTTCAATTTTATGTACCTTAGTTCTGAGTTAGATTTGCAGATGTGTACAGATAGTTCATATTTATGTATTGCACATAATCATGCTGTCCAGCATTGATGCTATATTGTATTATGTAAATAATAAAAACCATGTACAGAGGGAGACTTCCACTTGTTCATTGGGTTTTTAAGCCATAGTTAGAAATCCTACAGGGGGGATGATTAGAAAATGTCTCATACAACTTTTTAGTTGTATATGTACTTTGCATGGCTATGTTTTTATTTTATTGCCATCTCAGTATGTGTTCAAGGGAGAACCATGAGATGAGTTTTGTAAAATATCTTCAAGTATGGTACATAATAGGCAATTGTTTTTGAAATGAATAGGCATTTTTAGGATCTTAAAAGTCTTAGGACTTACGAGAGGAATGACATTTGAACAATTACGGTCTGTTACCCTTTCCCTTTGTTTTATAGGTAACACCTTAGGCATGACAATTTGTACAAAAACAGGTTTTTTTACTTCTGTATTGGGTGTGGCTCTAAAGTAGGGATGAATCCATGGGCTTGGTCTTAAGGTGTCATGTGAGATAACAAGGAATAAGAGTGATGTGTTCTGACTTTGCCCATGGGGTAACAGTCCAAGAACAGAACCATGGCTTCTCAGTGGTAGTTTGAAATGGAAATTCTTACCCTGGTTCACTGTCATTTGTCACAGTTCTTAGGGTGTTGATACTTTTGCTTCAAGTGGGGAAAATATGTGTAGAAGTCTATGATGAGATAATGATATATGAAGGATACTGAAGAATCACAACTGAGTGATAATTAAGGTTTGAAAACGACTTATTTCCCCCCACTCAGTGCTACCTCTGTCAACATTTACTTGATAGATTTTAAATCTTAAGGTTTTGAAATCAGAGAGTGGTTATGTGTGGACCCTTATCTTCATTGGCCTATAAAGGTCTTTGAATAAATGTTTCCATAATCATTTTTACCAGAAACATTGAGGGCAGATTTGATATTGCAAGATTTAATTTATCAATTAAGGAAAAGGAAACCTAAGTGTGTAAGTAAGCTAAGTCTATGTAGGTTTTCATTCAAACCTGAATGTTTCTTAGGCAAGACTAAAAATGGGATTTAACTTTGGCATATACACTGAGATACAAAGCATTTTAACTGTGCCACGTTTCTCAAAGATGATCGTTGCACACCCTTCAAAAATGTTTTGCTAGGACAAACCACAATCATATGAATTAGCTGTATGACCTTGGACTACACCTTTTATCAAATCTATTCTGCAGTGGGCTTTAATCTAAAACTGAGCCCTTGGTTTTTGCAATTTGAAGAGGAAAGAACTCTAGTAGTGTATATCATAGTGTTAAAGAGGGTTATGGACCCTGGAACCAGGCTGCTTCATCTAAATAAGGATGGTAACAGTGCCTGGTACATAGTACTCTATTAAATTTGTTAGACATTTTTTAGAGCAGTTTTAGGTTCATAGTAAAGTTGATAGGAAAGTATAAAGAGATTAACCATATTCCCTCCCCTTCACACACGTATAACCTCCCCTAATAACACTTCCCACAGAAGTACATTTGTTAATCGCCCACAGTCCATTGTTTACAAGTTCACTATTGGTGTTACACATTCTATGGGTTTGGACAAATGTATAATGAGTGATATGTATCCATCATTATGGTATCATACAGAGTATTTTCAGTGCCCCTAGAATCCACTGCCTCTGCCTACACCCTGCCCCAACCCCTGGTTAACCATTGATCTTTACTGTCCATATTCTGCCTTTTCCAAAATGTCATATAGTTGGAATCATGCAGTATGTAACCTTTTCAGATTGGGTTCTTTCACTTAGTAATATTCACAAGTTTCCTTCATGTCTTTATGACTTGATTGCTTATTTTTCTTTAGTGCTGAATAATATTCTATTGTCTGGATGTGCCAGTTTATCCTACTGAAGGACGTCTTGGTTGCTTCAAAATTTTGGCAATTTTGAATAAAGTGGCTGTAAACATTGGTGTGTTTTATGTGGAAATAAGTTTTCAACTCCTATGGGTAAACGTGTGATTGATTGCTGGATTGTATAATAATATGTTTAATTTTGTAAGAAACTACTGAACTATTCCAAATGGCTGTACCATTTTTGCATTCCTACTAGCAATGTATGAGCATTCATGTTGCTCCACATCTTTAGCAGCATTTAGTGTTGTCTGTTCCAGATTTTGGCCAATAGATGTGTAGTGGTATTTCGTTTCCCTGATGGCATCATATAGAGCATCTTTTTTTTTTAATCATCCGAGGATATTTTTTCCATTGCTTTTCAGACGGGAAGGGAGGGGAAAGAGAAACGTGGATGTGACAGACACATCAATTGGTTGCCTCTTGCACGTGTGTCGACCTGGGCCAGGAATAGAGCCTGTGACTGAGGCACATGCCTTTGTCCGGAATTGAACCCAGGGCCAACGTAGAGCATCTTTTCATATTCTTATTTACTATCTATACATATTGTTTGGTGAGGTGTCTGGTAAGATCTCTGGCCCATTTTTTTATTGGGTTTCTTGAGTTTTTTCTATATTTTTTGGATAATCTTTTAATGAGATATGTGTTCTGCAAGTATTTTCTTCCCATCTGACATGTTCTCATTCTCTTGAACTACTTTTTTAAAAATATATCTTTATTGATTTCAGAGAGAGGAAAGGAGAGGGGGAGAGAGAGATAGAAACATCAATGATGAGAGAGTCATTGATTGAGCCCACAACCCGGGCATGTGCCCTGACCGGGAATCAAACCCCGATCGCCTGGATCCTAGGTCGATGCTCAACCGCTGCTCCATGCCTAGCCAGGCTGAACTATTAATTTTAATGTTTTTTAACAATTTCTAAAACTTTGAAAGAAAATTATCTGAGAATGAGATTGATTACATTAAGTTGTGTAGTGAAAAGGTAAAGATCTGCAACTTAAAAATTTCAATTTGAAGTGATTAGAATCTTTTAAGAATGGATGTACCATATTTTCTTTATTAGTTGGTAAACATTTGGTTTGTTTCCACTTTTTTAAAAAATTTATCTTTATTGTTGAAAGTATTACAGATGTCCCCATTTCCCCCCCCCCATTAACCCTCTCCTTCCAGTTCCCGCCCCCTTTCCAGGCCTTCACCACACTATTGTCTGTGTCCATGGATTTTGCATATATGCATGTAAGTTGTTTAATCTCTTTAACTGTCCCCTCCGAGATTCATCAGTCTGTTGCATGCTTCCATGTCTCTGGATCTATTTTGTTCGTCAGTTTGTTTTGCTCATTAGATTCCACATATAAGTGAGATCATGTGGTATTTGTCTTTTCTGACTGGTTTATTTCACTTATAATAATCTCCAGGTTCCTCCATGTTATCTCAAAGGGTAATAGGTCCTTTTTTATAGCTGCATAGTATTCCACTGTGTAAATGTCCCACAGCTTTTTTATCTACTCATCTACTGGTGGGCACTTGGGCTGTTTCCAGATCTTAGCTATTATAGATAATGCTGCTATGAACATAGGGGAGCATATATTCTTTCTGATTGATGTTTCAGACTTCTTAGGATATATTCCTAGAAGTGGGATCACTGGATCAAATGACAGTTCCATTTTTAATTTTTTGAGGAAACTCCACCCTTTTCCGTAGTGGTGGTTAGAATCATTCTTTTCATTACTGTTTTCTTTGCATGTGCCTGTTAAATGAAGTGCATAGCAAGTATTAAAAATGAACAAATGTCTAAGTAATGTACTAGCAACATGTTAAGCATACTGCTGTAAATTTTTGAATCAGTAATACATTCAGAGGGCTCAAAAACAAATTTATTATAATACACATTGAGATGCAAAGCCTCATCCTGTCTCACATTTTTATTTTTAGAGAGGAAGGGGAGAGATAGAAACATTAATGAGAGAAACATTGATCGGCTGCCTCCTGCACACCTCCCACTGGGGGATCAAGCCTGCAACCTGGGCATGTGCCCTGACTGGGAATCAAACCCTGACCTGGTTCATGGGTCAATGCTCAACCACACATTTTAGGAAACTACCATAACTTGGGAAGGTTGGTTTGCCTCTTCCACGTCGTATAAATGTTTGACTTAATTTGACTTTTGTTTGCTTAATTGTTTGCAAAAATGTTCTAATGATTTTTGTTCATGATATTAGCTTATAATTTTGGAGAGAATGATGGGGGTGGTTGCTGGTTGATTAGCAATAAGATTATATAACCTGAAACTACATAGAAGGGTTTCTGTGGGTGAGACAGCAGGTAGTTAATGAAAAGTAACTTGAAATTTGACAGCAGTTTCTTATACTTGTACAATCTGCTTTAAAAACACGTACATGTATAAAAATACAAAAATGCCATTTAATACGTATAGCTATTTCCACACACAAACACTGGTTTTTAATTCATATAAAAAGCAATGAGCACTGTTTTTGTGTTTTCCCCTAGAGTGCATTTCTGTTCTAGTCCTGTAAGTAAAAGGTACACCATTTTGTGGTTTAAGTGTAAGACTTCATCTTGTCTGCAACTAAGTACTTACTATCCTTTTTAGTATAGGTAATGGTGTTGCTAAGTTGTACTTCACATAAACGGCAACATGACATGTTACAGGTTGTTGCTTTTTAATGGGTTAATATATTTTATTATATTTAGTTGGTTTTAAATATGTTTTTTCTTCATGGTTTTTATTAAAACTATCACCACAGGACCTCAGATTGTATATATCTAAAATGATTGATAATGTAGCCAAGGCTGTTTAGGAATTAAGATCATCTATCTGCCTACTCAGAAGTTAATAGAAAGCTTTTCTGTCACATTCCTAAATTTTACTTGAGTGCAAGAAGTGTTCAGAAAACAGGATTTTCTTAAGCACGTCACCCTTTAAAGTTCAAGAATGAGCTAGGGAAAAAAAATTAAATATATATATCCCTACATGAGTATCAGAGTAAATTTCTCTGATCCCATATAATCCATGACAAATTAAAAGATGGTATCTGATCCCTGTTACATAGTATGTTTATGGCCCCCCTTCCATCACTAAAAATGTATTCAAACACGCAAATGACAATACCAGGCAAACAGATGTGATTAGATTTTCTATTGGGTGGCACTACATCTCATTTATAGAA